AGAAACACTTTTTGTAAATAGTTTTTACTCAGTACTCATACGCCCTGTAAGCTCCCCCTTAGGAAGTAGCAACATGGTTCTAGATGTGTGCTTTTCATTGCTAAACATTTGGGTAAACACCAAATTTGCCGTGACGTGCACTTCTGTCACTGCAAATTAACACCTATCTATCACCTGCCAGCTGATCGAACTGGAGTTTAGATCTATGTTCTCATAGGGCTCGGAAACTTTGTATAGCACGTGTGTGGTCTAGGTTTATGTATGATAAATGGCGGGAAGCGTGTAAAATTCAACAGCTTAAAAGTGTAAAATCCCTTATATTACCTATGTTAACATTGACAGTCAACTCATAAATCACGATTATTATATAGGACAGGGGTTACGCTCGTAGTTTCAGGCATTAAGAAGGTAGTGAGATAAAAAGAAAAACAAACTTCAACCCTGAATCAGCTGCAGTCTATTTGATAAACCAAATATTACACAAATTATAAAGCATGCCAGCAAGATGATAAAATCTGTATTACAATGGTTTATTTACAAACTCTATATCTCTTGTATATCTTGGCGGATTAGCCTGGCTGCTATCATCATACAATGTTAAAAGGCGGAAATATTTGATTAAAGCGACGAGCGAAATGTAAATAAATAATAAATAAAACAGGTCGATTTATTAATGACTTGGAATTGATTTTCTATGCAAATTACGATCTGTTTTGTTTTAGGTTGCCGCTCAGTTGTCGAAACAGTTAGGCAAATGCCCTGCGGCAGAGATGGCGAATATTCGATTTCACCAAATGGGAGGGCGTGTGGCAATAATGCGATTATAGGTTATATTTATAAATGTCAGGTATCGCTCGGGGTTCCCAGAAGAACGGGATTGGGATAGGGTTTCTGCTGAACTGCATGGTACCGCGGGGCGTATACGCGATGCGCCATCAAAACGACATCACTTGCCCCATAAATCATGCCACCCATATGAAAGGGTAGGTATACATATATATATTTATGAATAACACCCCGCATAGATCGAAGACCAAGAACCGCAATGCCTCTTCTAATTCCGAGGAATCGAAACAAAGGCGCCCAGCAGACACATATAAACCACAACAAATATCCGAATTCCTCCTCCTTCAAATATATTAATAAAAAACCAGCGCGGGAACAATAATAAAACAATAACGAACAGTGGATGAAAAAAATCGATGCCATTAAGGAACCTTCTTTTTGTATTTAGATCGCGGACTGCGCTCGGCTTATGCTGCACCCATCCGCCTCCGATGATAAAGTGATGATGCCCCAAGGTTTCCAAATTGCTTTCAAATAAATGCCGAGCCCGTCGGCCCAGCTAAACCACTTCTGACTTCTGAATTCCGAAGAGAAGAGTTTAGCATATGAATAAAGACGCACCGCCCCAAAGAGTCCGTCCACGTCTCAGTCGCGTCCGAGTCCCAAATTTATATGCAAAACGACAGTATCGATAATGCCGCGATGATCCAGCATTTGCCTTGACCGTGAAGATGGGATCACTATGATGATGATGATGATGCCACCAGCGGGGCGAAATAATTAAAAGAGTGTCGTTAAAAATAAAATATAATGGATTTATGTAAAGTGATGTTACACGCTCTGCCTCAAAATGGTCACAAACGCGTCATAAGACGGCTCACAACAAATGGCAGCAAATAAATATAAAATCATTAAGATAGGCCTAGACACAGTCAGGTAAGTCGGGTTTGTCTATCCGACCCGTATTACTAGGGATGGGGCTAAAACTAAATACCAAATAAGGCATTCAAATGGCCAAGAAGACAATCAAGCCGAGATGAAACTGAAACCAGCTTGTGCTCTATAGGCGGTTCTGGCTTTTGATGTATGTAAGCCCACGAGTCGGTTAAATAAATTTGTATTTACCCAAAAACTGAAACCAAAAATATCCAAATAATTTGTTGAAAAAATTCATTCACGACCTGAGCAGAGACACAAGATACAAAATCGATAGAAAAATCAAACGAATGTGAACAAAAATTGGACAGGTAATTATTAGAGGTGTTTTCGCCTTGAGTGGATTAGCTTGGCAGCCGGGGATGGACACTGGCCCCCAATTATGCTAATACCCCGCCGAAAAAGGCCGCTAAAATCCATATTTAAATTATTAACACAGAAACCCCGGCTGGGCCAACACCGAATTCGGTTTCCAAAACCAACTCCTAGCCAGATTGAACATGTTTAACATTAATCTTGACTGATAAATTAAAAAAGAATTAATTAAAATGTGCAATCACTTGTCAGGTCCGGTATGCTTTTATGATGATTTCCTATACCCTATTTATAGCCTATAAATATGCTATTTAATTAGCAAGGTAAGCCACAAGTAATATAACTACCCATAATATAAAAAACTCCTTATAACATGATAAACGATGTCACGATTCTTAACTAGAGATTTCTAGTATTTATTGGTATTTAAGTATCAAAATAGAGTACACATACTTCGACTTGCATCCATAAAATAATTCTTCAGACTTTTATAAACATTTTTTCATCATTTTGACAGTTTTCGTAAGCTAGAAAATGAGCACTTGGGTCTTTGGTATTGCTGGGAACGTGGGTGGTTTCCCGAGGGGGGACCTTCGCAGAAGTGTTTGCATGCAGATCACGTATATATCTTTTGCCAAAAGAAATATAAATTAAATTCAGAATAACCAACCCAAAGCATAAGCACAGCACCCCAAAGTCACGCCCCGGCATCACACTTAAAAGTATTTGCTCGTTTTTTGGCTTTTTTACTTGAAATTATTTTGCGGCTTTTTGCTATTGTATCTGGTTGCTTTTTTGTTCTCTGACGGCATTAATATTCCGACAAATTATTTGTCACCCCGTCCAACCAAAGGGCTGCAAGGCCACGCCCTCCTCATTTGCATAAGAATCGGTTATGGTTATATATATAGCATTAATCAAAGGGAGACGAGCTGAGCTGAATATTTGACGATCATTACACGTATTTCTTCGAAGGGGTCATCCATCCATCCAGTTCTGGGTGGATGGTAATGGTAATGCTCACCCGAATTTCGACAGCACCCACATCTCGAGTGGTTTTTCGCTTGGGATCACTAAAACATGTTGGCGACTGACAAATGTTCAATTTCAGACTTCTTTTCTCTGCATTATTTTTGCTCATTTTTAATGTCAATGAACGCTACAAATTTTCTTCATTTTTATTTAAAGTAGACGAAATAAATTGAAGACAAAATGAATAACGAGAAGCCACGGGGACAGAGAAACACGCGCAAAGCGACGACGTACGATTCAAAAACTCAAAAAAAAAAAAAAAAAGCAAAACAAAAGAAAAAAACCGAAACAAAACAATAACAAAAAGCCAGAAAATAAATATTCAAATTCTACACATTGTGCAAATTTCATAGTCGAAATACAAATTGACAGCGCACCCTAATACTTGGGAGCGTTACTTACAGCAAGTATTCCGAAACTAGGCGCCACATAAAAAATTAGAAAAACTATTTTCGAAACGGCCAGTGCACAGAGATCTTCGAACCGAACTGAATATGTCACAATATTTCATGTGCTTCCGCGCAAACTGAATGGATGTTTATATAGAGGCATATAGACAGCTTTCAGCACGCCCAACTACCCATTCCATTCCATTCCGTCCTATTCCTGATCCCGAGGGGGTTACGCTACACATGGCCCGTTATCAGTTACGGTCGGTTATAGCTTACAGACTTCCTAATTCGCACCCAACATTATGTATTATGTATTCATGAGTCCCGGCTTCGTGTTGTTTTTCAAATTTTACATTGCCCGCCTGGCGGACGTTGATAAAATTCTAATGGCCTGTAAGTCACTTGGCCATGTTTCGGGCATGTTTCCATATTTGTTGTTGTCACGTCCCGAACGACTACTTTTCACACCTTGTTGAGCTCTGTAAATCTTAATTATAGGCTCTTTCCAACCAAGTCGAGTATTTGCAATGGCGTTATCCTAAATGCAAACTTGAAAATGTGCTGCATTTGCATGTAAATGCGGTGGGTTCAACTTAGACTAATGGGTAAAAATAAGTTGGTACCCTATTATAATAGTTTCATCCAGACAGGGGCGTCTTTCCCCCAGCCGTATTTATATGGAGTGTCTTAAATTTATTTATTTTTTATTTACTTTTTATCCAACTGCCACCTTCTTAGATAACTTTTACTTCTTATCTGGTGAGACATGTGCTCTAGATGCAGATTCAACTTTCCCGAAAAGTGTTGCTGCAGAGCAATCGCGATAAGGAGTGACGGAAACACACGTCCAAAATATCAGCAGTCCCTAACTGACGCAAATGGATGGGCCTAGACCAAGTGACTCAGTAAAAGAGCCGTAGAATTAGTTTTATTTTTTTTTATGTATTATATATGTTGTATTACTATTTGATGAATGCGTGAATGCACTCTTTTGGGGGTCTGGAACGAAAAGCTCTGAAGTGAGTGGCATTGTGGTTGCATTCTGCAGTCTCTTTCAAACCGCCGAACGGTGAGGTCGCCGAAAATCAAATCACATCTAGATACACTTTTGCCGTTTTCGGTTGCCGGGTGCTCAGTGAAGCGTGTGAATTCAAATGCGATGGCCACCGCGTCGTCGCTTTCTTTGTGTCCCATCGGTATTTAATCAAAATCGAAAAGAGAGCCACAGTAAAAAATAAAACAATGCGGCATACAAAAAACGAGACGAGCACACCAAAATATCGACAAATCAACCGAAATTATAAAAGAAAGGAAAGAACTCGACACATCGATGTGGAATCAATGCAATAAATTAACTTGAATTTGGTTTTCGCTGGCCCAGCCGATTTCGATAAAGCAAAAAGAGAGGAATACAAACAAAAATAAATGGAAAATCGTAAAACAAAAGGCGCTTGAAAATGCCGGTCTTCAAATTCGATAGCCCCGAAATAAGAGGCGGAAGACTAGGCCTTTGAATATAGAATATATATTGGGACCTACCTGTTTGTCCAGCAGCGGTCCCTTTGATATGAAGTCCTTTCGGGGCGAGTAAAGCTCTGGAGGTGATCCTTTGAAGGAGTAACGCAGGCCGGCATCCCCAAGATCGATCGCCGTCCCCCGCAGATAGCACTCAAGGTCATCTTCCTCCTCGGAGGATGTGGAGGATCCCGCCCCCGGGGACTCACAGATGGTGGTGCTGTTCGTCCGGATGCTGTGACCGGAAGTGGTGGACCTCAGCGTGGTGCTGGCATAGGAGGCGGGAGACTTTGGCTGGTCCACCTGCCCGGCCAGAAGACAATGGCACTCGGCCTCCTGGCCGGCGGTTTCAGTTTCGGGCGAACCGGCTTCCGGCATGGACATAATGACCGGATCAGATAGCCAGCGATATAGCGATTCCAATCTCTCGTGTGGCACGTGCAAAAATTCCCGCGAAATCGCACCACTATCCACTGTGCGTTTATAAGGGGTTTTTATATATATATGTATATCTACGTATATGCGTACACTTGTGTCGGCTCTTTGGCTCTTTTGCTTATTTTGTTAATTGAAATGCGACAGTCTCGTTCCGTTGCCGTGGGCACCGCACCCGCCGAAAAGTTGGGGGGGAAAAAAAGTAGCGTACTACGGCTCGTGGGTTTTAAAAAAGACTCACGCTTATGACGGCGATTAGCTAAGATAAACTACTTTACTACTATCATGATGAATCTTTTTGCCGAATCACAGAATTTTCGTGGCTGGCCAATGTTAAGCTCGAGCTTAAACTTAAACACACATCGCGATTGCATTCACTTTCGAGCTGCACCATTAACTTGGTCAGATCAGGTCACCTTTGGCATTCTGGGTTGGCTTTCTTTTCGGCAGTACCAGTGGCTCGTTTTGCTGGCTTTTCGGTGGCGAAGGTTGTCCCAGAGCTGCGCAACAGCAGCACCACATGTCAGAGTTCACCAGAACAAGATCGCGTCGATGGGATGGCATACTATCGCGACATGGCTGCAGGATAACAAGATTTTGGGATCCACTAGCGCGTCAGGATCTATAAGTCGGAGTCGGATTCGGGGATCGAATGATATTATAATAGAAATTTAATTCAAGCAATTGCCAAATTGCTGCGCGCGCAAAACAAACGAATCGAAAGAGAACGAAGTGGGGAACGAGCCGACTGACCAAGTGCTATATAGCCAGACGAAATGTATCTGTATCTGGCGATGTTTCGTTTCGGCTCGCTTGAGTTCACGCTGCGGACTGAATGCTCGACGATCGGCAGTTGGTAGCGCGGCAACTTACGGCTATAGCGGACTGAAAAGCAATCTGCGATCGCCGCACGCTCACTCGCCATAAAAGCGAAACGCTGCTCTCTCGCTATTGAATACACATATGCAGGGATATGGGATAGCTAACTGGGACTTCTAAGCCCCCAAAGGGAATCGTTTTTTGGGTGATAAAGCCCGGCGCAGGAGGACGTCAGTAGAGCCCCATATCGCTGTTCTCTTAACCACACATACCCCCATACCATACGATCCTAAAAGAAGACAGCCGGTGCAGAGAGAGAGAGCGAGAGAGGAAGCCCTGCTCTCAAAGAGAGAAAAGCTTATGGTGAGCTGAGCTTAAGCGCGCGCTCTCCTAACTCTGTATTACTCGATGCTCCAGCACATGCGTGGATTATGTGCTCGGCTAGGTTCTATAACCCTTAGAGTGCCCAATTCTCTTATCTTCTTATTCAAAGAGATAAGATCTTAATCTTGACATAGTAACAATTTTCGCATCCGGCCGCAAGGTCGAACGGTCCAGATTGCGAAATCTACAAAATCTTTACTCATAAGGTTAAAAGAACATACATAGATGAAAGTTTACTTTTCTTCTAACAACCATTTTTTATCCTGCAAAACATATTATATATAGCCTATATATAAAGCTTTAAGTTTGTGATTATTTTTTATATTTATTTTTATTTTTATGCTTTGCACATATAATCTTTAAGTGTACATTAGGGCGGATATTTTTGTATGATATTTTTAAGGTCATACATACATAACACTTAATGGTACTATACATTTCACAAGACATTATAAATGGATCGATAGAGATTTTTATTAATTGTCTTGTATTAATACAAAAAAAGTATAATCTGGAACTGAAATTTAGCAAGAAAAGTTAACATTACCTACAAAACTTTAACTTATAAGCATTACTCAACTCCACCATTGGATTTTAGAATAAGAAGTCATTATATCAAAAGGCTAGGGCGGAAGATGACTCTAATTCAATATAATTCTACACTAAGATCGGAAGTTGAATGGATGATTAAAAAATGGAAGATGAGTTGTTCATTAGAAATACCTACCATACTTTGACGCACTTTGATTTCCAAAATGTGACAACTACTCATAGTGAGCCAATTTTGATTTTTAATTAAAACTTTACATTTCGAAAATAAACTTTTGGGTTAAGTATTGAACATATATTATCTTAAGCTGCTTTTTATGATCCTGGCCATTTATAATAATCTGTCAGTATGAAGTTGACTGTGAAGTAAATATGATACATTATTTTGGGCCATTTATTCCAAGATCATGCGACATCTGCTGGATCCCAGCCAATGTGGGTCAAGATCAATCTAGTGATCGCGTCAGTGAATAAAAATAGTTGCGATCCGCTCCATTATTTGAACGCCGAGAACTCTTCCACATAAATGTCTTGTATGCCAAATTACCATATGTAGCAATTGACCCTATTGTATACTAAATATTTTCTTTAATCAAACGCAGCAATAAGAATTAATCAATTAGAAGACGAGAGCTCGTTTGCCAAATTAAAGTATAGTTGGAAATTAAAAATCCATTTCGCTGGTTTTCAGCGGCTCTCTGCATCAGCGGTCGGTGAAATTTCAAAAAATATTCTAAAATATGAAATATGTATGTATGGATGTTGCGCTAATGAAAAACAGCTCAAAAGATTCCGGGAAGAGCGATTGCATTGTTCTGCTTGTTTTGCAATCGACAACAAACCGCCGGCACCCGAAATAAAGCCAACATAAAACAGCAGCCAGAACAACAAATCTTACAAAACAGCCATAAAAGTCTGGAGGGAAGTGAGTTCCACAAGAACGTTTTTATTACACCGAACCAATGTTTACAGAGCCACTAAATAAATACCTTCCTGGCTGGAGACTTAATAATACCAGAGTCTAGCAAATCCTTAGCTAATCCGGGGAATCATACTACGGGCAGCATGCTGTCCAAATTAGGAAATACTGTTCAAAAAGGCGCCGCTGGTTTTTCAGATGTTAATGATCGAGCCACTGGAGATCGAAAGGCGGAACCCACTGATGCTGACCACAATGTATCTATCTGTCTATCCATCTATGTGTATCCATGCTATCTGTATCTGTCCAGATCCACATCGCATTGTATCATCTTAATAATTAACGCATTTAGATCATTAGCCAGTCGGGCAGCACGCGCAGCCATAAAGTTTTTGTTTAGCATTAAAAATAGCAGCGATTCCATTGCCCCAGAGATGCTCCATCAGATGGGATCCCCGGTTTTTCAGGTGATCCCGCCCCCTGCATCATATCATATGTGCAATTTCCATCGGCAGACGACGGCCTCCAAGTGAGCGAGAGGCTGTGAAGGGCCCTAGACTACTGATCAGTATCAAAGTCTTCAGATGTTCGATGTCAGACTGACTGTCTGTTTATCCGTCCGTGCGTCCAACACGCGCAGGCCTCTTAGTCAATTGCGTCGGTCCATGTCGGCATATACGTATATGTTCCTAAGTATTATGTTTGTAAGTAAGTGTGTCGGGTGCGTGAGTTGAACATGGTCCACAATTTTCGGCGCGTTTCTGTATCTCTGGGATAGTTCCATTCAGTCTCTTTCTTTTTTTTTTTTTTTGCTCACCCACACACTTGATTGATTGATAAATATTGATCCTGATTGAATGATCGAAAGCTTGCGAAAGCCCCATTCCCATCCCTCTGGAATTATTGAGAGCTCAGGTTTTTAAGTTCCCCTGACAGCTGCTCAATCAAACCGAATCGAATCGAATCAAATATTTGGGCTAACTAAACACAAACCTATCTTAAAGAGCCCCCAATTCCATGCCCTCAACGATGATGTCTAAATTCTGGAAATTCGCAAAAATCAAACTCAATTACGTGCGCTGTCAATCAGCGACAGGAATCGAAATGGGAATCGGTATGGCAATCGCTATGGGAATCGAAATCGAGAGGCATGCGTAAGAGGCATTTGTTGTACTCCCATAGTCGCCGTATGTATCTTATAGATACATTTCACTTAACTGTATGGCATATATCATCCATTCAACTACAGCATCCATAGACCAGCCACTACGACAGCAGCACACACAGATGGCGATGGCGATCTAGATGGGCATCGGGGATTGTTATAGATAGATAGATGGGGATGGGTTGGGGATCGCTGGGAGGTGCGTTGACCCTGAGACTAGCCCACGCCCACGCAACGCGCAAAATATAAACCAATAGTGGTTTATATATAGGTGCACAGAGGGAAACAGGCCACCCAAAACAAGGCACAATTTATGCTTTTTAAACTATTTACACTTTTATCTCCAATTTTGTGATAGCCTTGACCACTTTATATTGTATCTAAAAAAATTAGTAGAATTATTTGTATGGAATTATATGAATGAAATTGAAACAAATAAACTGGTAACATTCTTTGTAAATTTAAATATTTGATAAGAAATAATACAAATTAAAATGTAATATTGAATTTCAAAACATATTTCCTAGTTAGGATCATCTATTTAGATCAGTGTACTCATATTCCTTGAGATGGAGACCGAATGTCGAAATTCGCAACAACGGGCATGCAAATCATATCCACTAGGTTTGCAAACATTTATGGATATCATGTGGAAAAGACTTGAAGTGAGCTGAAATTAAAAACATTTTAAAAGTAGCAGAAGTACAATGAGGAGCAGCGCTCTATCGCCATAAAAGATGAGTGCCCGCTGAAAGGCAAGATCATAAAAATGGGCTACAATTCAAGTACATAATTCAATTTTCCGGGATCTGTCCGGTTTCCTCTTTGAACTGTCTGTTAGTCGGGGAAAGATATTAGACATCTGCATATGATTCCCGGCCCTAATCGTTCGCTGAACCGCTCCAGAAATCCAGAAGTTGCGCAAAAAAGTTCAACACACGGCGCTCGACTTTCAGTAATGCAATGCCATTCGGGGTGGCCAATGCACTTGCCAAAGACTTCAATTGAAAATTTTTTCATTTACACCAGGCCGGCCATTCAATGGATATGAATCGGTTTTATATAAGGCCCCAAATTTATGTTTCTTTCTGAATAATTCGTCTGTTCATTGATTCCGAAAACGTAATTGAATGCAGATACTGCATTGCGAATACTCGGACCATGGGTACGATGAGAATGAGTATGAGTATGCCTCCAGGCGGTGTTCTTAAGTATTAGAAGCGAAAAATGCTAAAACCCAAGCCGAAATTATGTCGATTCTGCGCTGCGTCAGCATTATCTCCGATTGCAGCACCGACTTGTGGCTTATGGCTTATGGCTTTCGACAAATGCAATCGGCATATGGCATATGGCCTGATGTCCGATTTCTGATAGCCTGATGTTTTTACTTCTGCTGTCTGACAGACTGACTAAGCCTAAGCATTTGTTTCGGCTATCAAAGGAGCTTATTCCGGGGAATCGCACATGTCGCACCACACCACAGAACACATCATACTGTCAAAAATCGTACGACAATCATGAGTAAGTGGTTGGAGTTATGGTGAAAGTCAGCATATTCGGAAACAGTGTATCAATTTTTGTATAGCGTGTTGTTAAATGGTTAATCCGCGATGATTAATTTAAGGTTCTAATCGTATTTGAATTTCAAAAAATTCCGTTTAAGAGAATTTTCAAACAAATATTTATGAGTAAAATTATAATTTTAGAAAATATTGATTAGAATAACTCAAACAAATAAGCAAGGAATTAGGAATTTTAGGAATGTTATTGGAAGCCCGTTAGTCATAATATGAAATCGGTAAAAAATAAGGTCGTCTAGTCTTACAGAATAATATTTTTTCATTTAAAATATATATTATGAATTAGTATACCAACACAATGTATTTTTAGAGATACCATTTTGAATTGAAATTTGTATCTTTCTTATGAAAATACATTTTTTATTTATAGTAGTTAACTTTTTTAGAAAGTTTAGTTCGATATTTGAGAAGTTCCATATAAACGAGCTTTACCATTTTTTTCTTCATACATTTAGCTGGCTGTAATTTCTCTCGGTGTTAGCTCTTCATCCGGCTGGGATTGCAGCACCACTTCGTTGGCCCAGCTGTTGCACCACTCGGAACCAGAACCACCGGCTGCACCACAGCTGCAGTGACAATCCAATCTGATCGGTGCGTCTCGAGAAGATGTTAGATATTAGAAGGTGTTGTTGGACCCGGGACCTCGCCTTGAACTATTGACATTATTTGAGGCGCATTTTAATTACGCCAAGAGCCATGTAAAGTGACTGATCGACTGGCTGCTGGCCAGTTTTGCATTGCATAATGCATCATGTTAATAGGGAGCGGCATCGGCAACGTTACCGGAGATCGAAGATCGGAGGCGCGACTTCCCGTTTCGGTAGCGCCGGCAATTGTCACAATGATTTACAGGCATACCGCGTTGGCAGCTATAAATTGCTAAATGGCCATTACAGAATTAATTACACGACTGTTGAAGAACCCCAGAAACTGGACTCTGAGTCAGTGCCTCGAGCCGTGTCGCTGGCAATTGACCTTTTGCCCCTCCCAGACTGCCTAGGCTGCCGGTTGAAAATGAATTATTATCTTGTAATTGTCACGTATTAGCGGTGTGCAGATATGCTACTGCGGTATATCACAATACAATACTGGATCAAAGTATGCAAATGGGAATGCGGGCGAAAAGTCAGAAACACTCGATGTCCATGTAACGAGCTTGTAACTCGGATGGTATTAAATTACACTGGCGTCGACATGACCAGACCAACCGAGCTGTGAATAAAATAAGTTGTTTCCCTAACTAAATTAACGAGACAAAGAAAACCTACGTCAAAAGTACTTACAATACGTACCGAAAGAAATCATTAATGTGATTTATGAACATGTTGGCTGATTAAATCAGCAAGAAACACGAATTATCCACGGAGCTTTATCTAAACTATTATTAAATACGGACAGGTCATATACTATCCAGATTTACAATCTGTAAGTGTCGAGTGCTGCTAAAGAATTTCCGATACTTTTCACAATCAACTAAAAGAAACCAGAAGAATTTACTTATCTTAAGTTAGTTAGCGTTTTACACAAACCATATGCTTAACATAAAATATTAATTTATTACATAAGTGCGGTAATATAATTATAAGGTCCAACAACATAAAATGCTAAATAGCAAATAAAGTTGTTTAGAAATTCGATTTTTTCTGATATTTAATATGAAAAAACATTCTGGCGTGTGCAGAAAACTCTATAAAGAATTAAAGAAAGGCATAAAAAATATATTTTGCCATGCTAGCTGAATATATCGATTGTAAGGTGGACAAACCCTACGTGAAGTTGTCAAAACTGTCGACCTTTTACAACACTCAGGTGTTGGTGTCGGTTGTCAGGTGAAAAATAGTTGGAACCCAAACTAAAAAACACACCCCTTTGAAAGTCGGAAACCACCACCATGAGCGCCAGCGAGGGAATCAGTCTCCCTGGAAACGGGGACACCACTCCGCCGCGTGAAAATCATAAACAAAAGTCCAGGAAGAAGGACAGAAAGAAGTCCAAGGTTGCCAAAGAAAGTATTCCAGAACCGATGGACGCGAAAGCCACTGCCAGCTACTTCAGCGTAAGCGTCATGGGACAAATAGTGTCCGCCACCTTTCCCATGGGTCCCGACAAGGAGTTCGTCTTCCTGCGCTACGAATTGGTCGCCGGTCCCGACTGGCAGTTGTTCTCGGGACCCCAACATGGACTCACCCAGATGGCCACCAACAAAAGGAGCAACTTCAATGAACCCATCGTCTTCAACATGCCCATCGAAGTGACCTTCAAGAGCACCAGTCCCTTTGGCTGTGAGTAAAAATATATAATCTTTACTAATAGTATATATTTGAAAATTTTTTAAAGACTTAATATAATAAAAGCCGTTCTGAGCATGTAAAAATAGCCTGAGATATATAACATATAAAGTGCATCGTAACTGAAACTACCATTAATAATTATAAACCTTATTGGCTAGACACTTCTCAACATAAACTATGTAAGTCTATGCCAAACCAGTTTCTATGTTCTCAGTTCAGAGAAAAGATTATAGGAGCTCGACTGCAACTACTTGGTACTAAAATTCTTTATATTTTCTTTTAGAGAACCTATTATAATTTGTAAAACTATTTAAAGCTATCTTATGAATAAAAAAACATAAAAGTAGTATTGTTTTAGAGACCCTTCCTTATTAGTAATACTATTTATTGCTATATTATCGTTAGAACTACAAGATAAAAAGATGGTCTTTAGAAATTAGCAGCAATACTTTAAAATTCTTAAAAAATCGTATGTTGAATATAAGCGATTGTATGTGCTTACTTGAATCTTCCTCTTTTTTCAGGGCCCCAGATCCTGGTGAGCGTGTTCGGACGCAGTGGAATGGGCCGTGAGACGCTCCTTGGCTACGCCCACATCCACCTGCCCGTCTTCGGCGGTCGTCGTCCTGCGGATCAGGCGGAGCTGCTGGAGGCGCCCATCCTGAAGCCCCAGTGCCCCAGCATGTTGGCGGACATCACCAGCTGGCTGCTGCGCCGTGAGCCAGAGCTCAAGGATCCCAAGGTGCTGCTGGACAACCTGAAGTGCAAGGGCCTCTCCATGGAGTCCTACGGCAGCCTGCAGTTCCAGCTTTCCTCCGTGACAAGGGGAGCCCGCAAGCTGGGCTACCAGTGGCATTCCTGAGGAGTTCACCATTTGCTAATGATGTGTGTCAGTAAAACGTGAATTTAGCGAGACAGGAAAGCGTTTGTCTTAATCTAATTGCCGGGTGGGTGGTTGGTTTCTATGGGAGCTGCCTTAAACCTGACCTTGTCCATAGTGGCTTTCCGGCGGATAAGATGGTTCTAAAATGACGCGACTACTGGTAATCCGACGCAGCAAATTTGCGGCAATCGAAAGCCCAATCGTTAGCTTTGGATTGGCCAAGTGGCTGCTAATTGGATTAGGGCAATTAGTCTAAGACGGCAGATGGACACAAGTGACCACTGGGCATATAAAGACCTGGTCAGGGTTCCGTACCAGGCATTGCCGTCTAGTCCGCCTCCCGAGAGCCAGTCGTCCTGCTATGGACAGCGAGTAGTCACCGCAACAGAGTAGCCATCCAAGTTCAGACGAAGCCACCACCGAAGCACCAGCTACAGTTCCAAAATGGTCAGCCTGAATCCCCCGAACTATGCGTTTATGCGCGATGGTCGCAATGTCAGCCTGGCGGAGAGTGTGCCCGCCGAGATCATGCACATGGTGGACCCGTACTGGTACCAGTGGCCACCAATGGAGCCCATGTGGTTCGGCATCATTGGCTTTGTGATTGCCATTCTGGGCATCATGTCGCTGTCTGGCAACTTCATCGTGATGTACATCTTCACCTCCTCGAAGGGACTGCGCACTCCCTCGAACATGTTTGTGGTTAATCTGGCCTTCTCCGACTTCATGATGATGTTCACCATGTTCCCGCCCGTGGTGCTGAACGGATTCTACGGCACCTGGGTCATGGGTCCCTTCCTGTGTGAGCTATACGGCCTATTTGGCTCGCTCTTCGGATGCGTTTCCATCTGGTCAATGACGCTGATTGCCTACGATCGGTACTGTGTGATCGTGAAGGGTATGTCCAGGAAGCCACTGACCGCAACGGCAGCTGTGCTCCGGCTGATGGTCGTCTGGATGATCTGCGGAATCTGGTCCCTATTGCCACTCTTCGGATGGAATCGCTATGTGCCGGAGGGCAACATGACCGCCTGCGGCACTGATTACTTCGCCAAGGACTGGTTTAACAGGTCCTACATCATCGTCTACTCGATGTGGGCCTACATGACGCCTTTGACGACCATCATCTTCTCTTATTGGCACATCATGAAGGTGAGTTTGGGGAGGATAACTATTTAGTAACTAACTATTCCCCCTTCAGGCTGTAGCTGCCCATGAGAAGGCCATGCGGGAGCAGGCCAAGAAGATGAACGTGGCCTCCTTGCGGAACAGCGAGGCCGACAAGAGCAAGGCCATCGAGATCAAGCTGGCCAAGGTGGCGCTGACCACCATATCGCTGTGGTTCTTTGCCTGGACCCCCTACTCCATCATCAACTACGCGGGCATCTTCGAGTCCATGCACCTGAGTCCACTGGGCACCATCTGCGGATCCGTGTTCGCCAAGGCCAATGCGGTGTGCAATCCCATTGTGTACGGGTTGAGGTGGGTTGAGATCTATCTATCCTTTATTATAATTTTCTGATATATCTTATCCCCTAGTCACCCCAAGTACAAGCAGGTGCTGCGGGAGAAGATGCCCTGCCTGGCCTGCGGCAAGGACGAACTCTCCTCGGACTCGAGGACACAGGCCACCGCGGAGATCAGCGAATCGCAGGCCTAGACGGATCAGAGACGACGACTGCAGACGTAGGTAACTGACAGCTCTAGATCTACAAAGACTCAACTATTTTGCAAAGACACCTCAAGGAAAACCCAAAAAAAAGATGGCAATGAAAAATGTAAAAAAAATACTGTAAAAATATAAGCTGCAATTGATACAAAATCAAAACATCCCGAGTAATTCACTTGCTAAACTGCTTCATCAAGCACAGTGCCCCAAAGAAGATTGTGCCTTTATTGGAAGATTAACATTTCAAGCATTTCAACTGCTACCATTGCCATAGGATCATTTGAGTCGTTATTGGGAATCCATGTCAGTTTCGTAATCGGGATAAAATGGTGCCATAAGGAGTAGTACTTAGCGGTAATACGAGTTATAGCCGAGGTCTATCAGGGTGCCATTGTTGCGTCTCTCGCGCAACTCTTGGGTGAATAAAGCGCGTCCTTGCAACAGGATGAAGTCAATCAGCCTTCTGTCCGAACTCTGACGCAGTGCATCAGGACCAGATCGTTTGCGAAGGTAGTTAAAACAGCAGGTCCTATGGGAATCATTGGGTATTATCACTAAGAACTTTTAAAACATACAGGCTCTTACCGAAAATGTTTGGTGCCACAGGCGCTGGCACACTCCTTGCCACAAGTGTCGCACTTTATGGCCTTGGAGCTAGGGCACATCAACCAGATGCCTAAAAAAACAGATTATTATAGGGTATTTATAGCCACTGAATACTGATAACTCACATAGCAAGATGATCTGGAAGTGGGCCAGCCAATGCATCGTTGTCTTGGTCATTGGTCGGCAGTCTTCTCAAAATGCTGTGCCACTCATAAGATCTTCTCTTGAAGTCCTGTTCCGTGTCCCAGAGAAAGCGCAACTGAAAGGACCGAGTTGCCGGCTCCTGGGTTTATATACTCGTCTTTCTCAGGACAGGCGCCCACTCTCCGGAATTCCGGCATTCAAAGTGGTCAATGAAGCATGTGGCAGATGTACAACCAGGAGGAACCGAGCCAGTATGTGGACATGGAGTGCATAATAAGTAACAGCTCACAGACAATTGCAGATTGCGCAACAAGTTGATGGGGTTATTTTGGGGTTGTTGGGGGAAGTTTGGGGGTGGAGGTCGATGGGCAGCCGCAAATCAAAGCAGCTGGACACAGGTTGTAAAAGTTCTTAATCGAGCTGGCGAGCGACAAGTTTGGCATCTTAAAATATTATGGAGAAAGAAGAAGAGTTTCAAGAAGTAGGAACAACAACACCTACGATATTTGCTTTTATGAAAACTTTAACTTTCTGGTCCTGTCAACATAATAATTATTTTGATTTTGCGTAATTCACTTTTGTTTTGTGTATTTAATACAGTATAACCTCCCATTACTACATTTTTCGCCTTCTTTCCCTTTTTGTTCTCTTTTTATTATAAAGCTAAGAAGTTAAACATTTTTCAAATGCCTGAAAAAAGGCGCCACCCGTTCTTCCTCTTCCATTAACATATATTTTTACCGATCTGGTAGCACCATGTTAACTTACTGTTAGTAACAGTGGGCCGGATCTGTTCTTCATATGTCGGTTAACAGTGAGCAAAAACTTGGGTGCAACTTAACAGTGGGAGTAACAGAGCGTAAGGACTTGAGTGGAAATTCTACTGAAAAGTTAACAGTGCGCTGGAACTGGAGTGGAAATAGAATGTTATTGGAGTTAGGCGATAGGCCATTTCAGCAGGGATTTTTTTGGGAATGGCTTAGTATGTTTTTGGTATTTTTTACAACCGGCCACTCTTAAAAAAACGTAAACATATGTGGAATTTGTTGCAGCTCTAGTCAATAATAAGAAACAATTATGTGGGAGCCGCCGCGACTGAGTGCATCCTTGCGGACCAAGACGGAGCTGGAGGCCCGGAGCCGGCGTTTCAGCATCCTGCGCCAGGCGCGAACCGCCTCTGCCACGTCCACGACGACAAACAGCCAGGAGTAAGTTGCGATTTCACCACCTGTGAAATGCCACAATGACCCCGATCTCTTCCAGCAAGGAGGAGCAGACCATCGCCCGCCTTCTGGCCCAGATTCCACCCGGAAAGCAGCCCGCCGCCAAAGTGCAGCTGCAGAAGCTGCGCAACCTGGTGCAGGAGTGCATGGGCTACGAGGAGCAGCCACAGGTGGTGGAACACGCCGCCCTCTATCTCTTCTGGCTGCTCCTCGAGCAGCGGGTGCTCCTGGTGGCCACCACCCAGCGGCTGCACGGTATGTTCGGCCACATCTTCGACCGCAAGAAAACGCAGATCCACGACTGCGTCCTGGCTATCGGTGATTTGCTGGAGGAGCACGAGCGGGCCGGGCTCAAGCGATGGCAGCAAACGCAGCGCAAGGCGCCCGGAGTGGGCCCGCTGTGGGGTGCCCACATCCACGTCAAGTGCACGCCCGCCGAATGGATGGACATCAGCCTGTTGACGGATCTGGCGCCGGACGCCCTCCTCAAGAACCGCACCGTCAACAAGTTCTCCATGAAGTACAAAACCAAGACCGAACCCGAGGCATCCAAGCGCCCGGACGCCGAAAAGCTGAGTCCGGAGCTGCAGACCCTGCTGGGAATCTCCGAGAAGCTGGACGACGAGCACCTTCTGAGCCGCGTAGGCGACATCCTGGGCTCCAAACGCAGCAATGAAGAGCTGCAGAACGAACTTATGGAACTCCTGGGCTTCGATTACTTTGAGCTGGTGGGAAAGCTGCTCCAGGAGCGGGACAAAATCGCCCGGCAGTTGGATCAGTTTGCCACCCGATCTAGGCGCGTCAAGGAAGTGAAACAGAAACGCAGTCAGACGGCGGCCAGTGGAGGTGCAGCAGAGCGTCGTCCCACTGTGGCCAGCGCCGTGGTGGTTCAGTCGGCCCAAGAGAAGCAACTAGGCAAGATGCAGCGTCGGGAGGAGAAGAAGCTGCAGCGTATCATGCGTAGCATCAAGGACGAGGAGCCGGAGGACGATCCAAACTGTGCGGTAGCCGTTTCAGTCCAACAACTGCGCATGCAGCACCAGCGAAAGCTTCTGGAGGCCGCCCAGCGGGAGCCACTGCTGCTCAGCACAAAGGCGGCCAAGGCGGATTACAAACAGGCCTCGTACAACCAGCCCATCCACTACCCCTATGTGTTCGACAGCCAGCTGTTAGCCAAACAGCACGCCGGCTTTATCGGAGGCAGTAGGATTACCCTGCCTGACAACGCCCAGCGTGTAGACAGCAAACAGTGGGAGGAGGTCAAGATACCGGCTAGCGAGCCACCGCCACTCACAGTCGGCAACAAGCGCATCAAAATCGAAGAACTGGACGACGTAGGAAGACTGGCTTTTGCCAACTGCAAGGAACTGAATCGTATCCAGTCCGTCGTCTATCCGGTGGCCTACCACAGCAACGAGAACATGCTGGTGTGTGCGCCCACGGGAGCCGGAAAAACCAATGTGGCCATGTTATCCATTGTGCACACGATTCGTTGTCATCTGGAGCAGGGAGTCATCAACCGGGACGAGTTCAAGATCGTCTACATAGCACCAATGAAGGCGTTGGCCTCGGAAATGGTTGATAACTTCTCAAAACGACTGAAATCTCTGCAAATCGTTGTGCGAGAACTGACGGGGGACATGCAGCTGACCAAGGCGGAGATGGCAGCCACGCAGATACTGGTCACAACGCCGGAGAAGTGGGATGTGGTCACCAGGAAGGGTAAACTGGATATGATGTATCCTAAATTTTATGCTAATCAAATTCCCTTGCAGGCAGCGGCGATGTGGCTTTGATAAGCCTGGTCAAGTTACTAATCATTGATGAGGTGCATCTCTTGCATGGCGAGCGAGGTCCAGTGGTGGAGGCACTGGTGGCCCGCACCCTTCGACTCGTTGAGTCCTCGCAATCGATGATCCGCATTGTGGGCTTATCCGCTACCCTGCCAAATTACATCGATGTGGCCCACTTCCTGCGAGTGAATCCTATGAAGGGTCTCTTCTATTTCGACTCCCGTTTCCGTCCTGTTCCACTGGACACCAACTTCGTGGGCATCAAGTCGGTAAAACCACTGCAGCAGATCGCCGACATGGACCAATGCTGCTATCAGAAGTGCGTTGACATGGTGGCGCAGGGCCATCAAGTTATGGTCTTTGTCCATGCCCGAAATGCCACGGTGCGGACAGCAAATGTGATTCGCGAACTGGCCCAGCAAAACAATACAAGTGCGCTGTTTCTGCCCAACGACTCCAATGCCCACGGCCTGGCCATGCGTTCGATTCAGAGGAGCCGCAACAAGCAACTGGTTGACCTATTCTCGTGCGGCCTAGCCATGCACCATGCCGGAATGCTGCGCGCCGATCGTCAGATGGTTGAGAAGTACTTCGTCGAGGGTCACATCTCGGTGCTGGTCTGCACGGCCACCCTCGCCTGGGGTGTCAATCTGCCGGCCCACGCTGTCATTATCCGAGGTACGGATATATACGATGCTAAGCATGGCAGTTTTGTGGACTTGGGCATACTTGATGTGCTGCAGATCTTTGGTCGCGCCGGTCGCCCCCAGTTCGACAAGAGTGGAGTGGGTACCATCATCACCAGCTACGACAAGCTGAATCACTACCTGTCACTGCTGACCAATCAATTCCCCATCGAGTCCAACTTTGTGAATTGCTTGGCTGACAATCTCAATGCTGAAATCGGTCTGGGCACAATTACCAATGTGGAAGAAGCTATCGAGTGGCTCAGTTACACGTAAGTATCTACATTCTTGAATTAATGACTGATATGGGAATTATAATACATCATTTTGGTTTTCTTTCAGTTACCTGTTTGTGCGAATGCGAATAAATCCTCATGTATACGGAATCGAATATTCTGAGCTGCAAAAGGACCCTACGCTGGAGGCACGCCGCCGAGCTCTTATCATGACCGCATCGATGAGTCTGGACAAAGCTCGGATGATGCGCTTTAACCAACGCACCATGGACATGAACATAACCGACTTGGGTCGTACTGCCTCGCATTTTTACATAAAGTATGACACTGTGGAGACCTTCAACGAGTTAATGAAGCCATTTATGAACGAGGCAGAGATTTTGGCCATGATTTCTCAGGCCCAGGAGTTCCAGCAGCTTAAAGTGCGTGATGACGAGATGGAGGAACTGGACGAGCTAAGAAGCTACTATTGTAAAATAAAACCCTACGGAGGCAGTGAGAATATCCACGGCAAGGTAAAAATCCAAGTTCTGTTGAGCCATACTCCCAATGCTTAAGATTATTTTCTCTCCAGGTAAACATCCTTATTCAGACATATCTCTCCAATGGTTATGTGAAGTCCTTTTCACTGAGCTCCGACATGTCCTACATTACCACAAATATAGGAAGAATTACCAGGGCTTTGTTCTCCATTGTACTGCGGCAAAATAACGCTGTGCTGGCAGGACGCATGTTGCAGCTCTGCAAGATGTTTGAACGACGGCAATGGGATCTCGATAGCCACCTGAGACAGTTTCCCGCCATTAACGCTGAGACCATTGACAAACTGGAACGACGGGGTCTGAGTGTCTATCGGTTGAGGGACATGGAGCAGCGGGAACTGAAGGAGTGGTTGCGCAGCGATCGCTATGCCGAACTGGTTATCCGCTCGGCACAGGAGCTGCCGATGTTGGAGGTGGAAGCGAGTCTGCAGCCCATCACGCGAACGGTGCTGCGTATCAAGGTGGACATCTGGCCCAGCTTCACGTGGAACGACCGTGTTCACGGAAAGACTAGTCAGAGCTTCTGGTTGTGGATTGAAGATCCCGAGTCCAACTACATTTACCACTCGGAACTGTTCCAGGTAAGCCGAAAACTGGTGATGAGCGGCCAGTCGCAGCAGCTGGTCATGACCATTCCGCTAAAGGAGCCACTGCCGCCACAATACTACATACGAGTGAGCAGCGACAGCTGGCTGGGCAGCACTACATGCATTCCATTGTCCTTCCAACACCTGGTGCTGCCGGAGCACCACCCGCCTTTGACGGAGCTTCTGCCCCTCCGTCCACTGCCAGTCAGCTGCCTCAAGAACGTCCTCTACGAATCCCTCTACAAATTCACCACTTCAATCCCATCCAAACGCAAATCTTCCACTGCCTGTACCACACCGACAACAACGTGCTTCTGGGAGCTCCCACCGGCAGTGGCAAAACCATTGTGGCGGAGATAGCGATCTTCAGGGCACTGAACCAAAACCCAAAGTGTAAAGTGGTGTACATTGCTCCGTTAAAGGCGTTGGTGAAGGAGCGCATCTCGGATTGGGAACAACGTTTTCAGCGCTCCTCGTTGGGGCTGAAAGTGGTTGAGTTGACGGGCGACGTCACGCCCGACATCCAGGCCATCCGAGAGTCGCAGCTAATCGTGACCACGCCAGAGAAGTGGGACGGCATAAGTCGATCCTGGCAGACACGCGAGTATGTGCAGCATGTGTCCCTGATCGTCATCGATGAGATCCACCTGCTGGGCGAGGATCGAGGACCGGTCATCGAGGTGATTGTTTCGCGCACAAATTTCATCAGCTCACACACAGGACGGGCTATACGAATGTCGGATTGTCCACAGCTCTGGCCAACGCCCAGGATCTGGCCAACTGGCTGGGCATCACCAAGATGGGATTGTACAATTTCAAACCTTCGGTGCGTCCAGTACCACTGCAAGTGCACATCAACGGTTTCCCGGGAAAACACTACTGTCCCCGCATGGCCACCATGAACCGGCCCACGTTCCAGGCTATTCGCACCTACTCTCCGTGCGAACCGACCATCGTGTTCGTTTCCTCGCGTCGACAGACGCGTCTCACGGCCCTTGACCTGATTACCTTCGTGGCTGGCGACGCCAATCCCAAGCAGTTCCTGCACATGCAGAAAATGAAATGGAGCTGATTCTGCAGAACATTCGTGATCAGAACCTAAATTCTGTCTGGCCTTCGGTATTGGTCTGCATCATGCTGGTCTCCAGGAGCAGGACGCAAGTGTGTGGAAGAGCTGTTCCTCAACCGAAAGATCCAGGTGCTGGTGGCCACCGCCACGCTGGCGTGGGGCGTAAACTTGCCCGCCCATCTGGTGGTGATTAAGGGCACCGAGTACTTTGACGGCAAGGTGAAGAAGTACGTGGATATGCCCATCACGGATGTGCTGCAGATGATGGGCCGAGCTGGGCGGCCGCAGTTTGACAACGAAGGTGTGGCCGTCGTCCTGTGCACGACGAAAAGAAGAACTTCTACAAGAAATTCCTGTACGATCCATTCCCGTGGAGTCCAGTCTGCTGGGTGTGCTGGCGGAGCACATTAACGCCGAGATCGTTGCCGGAACTGTACATCAAAGCAGGCAGCCCTAGACTACCTAACGTGGACTTACTTCTTCAGGCGGCTACTCCGGAATCCTTCGTACTACCAGCTGGAGGGCGTGAGCCGAGAATGTGAACGCCTTCATGTCCAACCTGGTGGAGCGCGTCGTGTATGACCTTTCCGCCGCCGCCTGTCTGGTGGAGCGCGATGGATGTCTGGTGCCAACCTTCTTGGGGCGAATCAGTTCCTACTACTACCTGTCGTACCGCACAATGAAGCACTTTCTGGAGGATTTGCAGCCTGGCATGAGCACGAAGGAAGTTCTCTTGGCCATTGCAGATTCCTACGAATTCGATCAGCAACCTGTCCGCACAACGAGATAAGTACAACGACAGATGGCTGAAACTAGTCGCTTTAGGCCTCCATCCGCCTCCTGGGACTCGCCGTACACAAAGACGTTCTGCTCTCCAGGCTCACTTCACCCGCCAGTCTCTGCCGAATTCGGATTACCTAACGGACACGAAGTCGGCGCTGGACAACGCCACTCGAGTGATGCAAGCCATGGTGGACTACACCGCGGAACGGGGATGGCTCTCCACCACTTTGGTGGTGCAGCAGCTGATGCAGAGCGTCATTCAGGCGCGCTGGTTCGACGGCAGCGAGTTCCTAACATTGCCAGGAGTTAACGAGGACAACTCGATGCCTTTTTGAACATACCACACGACGACCACGACTATTTAACTTTGCCCGTGCTGAAGGAGCTGTGCAGAAAAGAGTACGAAGTACTGGCCAAGCCTCTGCGAGATGCCTTCGAGGAGCAGGAAATTGAGCAGATGTATAAGGTATGCGTTTAACTTACTAACCCTAAGGATTATATTAAATGATTTTTATATCTCTCTAGGTAATCCAAGACTTGCCCGAGATAGCATTGCAAATATCCGTGGAGGGTCGCTATATGGAGGACGAGTATGCCAAACGGCCGTTGTCTCTTTTTGGTGACACAAAGGGCGAATGGATGGCCTTGCATGCCAATGAGGACTACGTCCTCACGATAAATCTTCAGCGCTTAATGCCAGTGGACAGCGAAGAGCGGGAGGACAAGGTGGTTACACGGTTCACTGCCCAAAATATCCTAAGCCCAAAACGAAGCCTGGTTCCTGACCCTGGGCTCCCAGGCTAATGACGAGCTCCTGGCCATGAAGCGGTTATCCATTCGCGGGCAGCGCTGCACCAACCGCATTTCGTTCCAGGCAACTCCGCGACGTGGCCGTCTGCAGCTCACGTTATATTTGATGTCCGACTGCCTAATGGGTTTCGACCAGCAGTATGACCTGCGGTTTGAGATTGTTGATGCAAAAGAGGTTTAAGTGAAGCCTTAGAAAGTAAAACTAAGACGAATATCGTAGCATTCTGTAGATTGAGGCTTAACTTTTAGTAAATGGAACATTTTTCACAATCACTGTTTGCATACCTAAGTTTGTAGTCAAACTGAACTTGCGTATTTATTGTGTGATCCTCCAAGACATGTATAACATTTTTATCATTAGTCACTTGCTTCGACACGAAGCTCATTTGTTAACCGAACCATGTAGAACTAGCATGCCTGAACCACTTTCTGTGAATTTATAAAGTGAAGATTTTTTATTACGTGAAGTTAATAAAGTTTGTAATTAAAGCGCAAAAAATATGTTTTTGAAATCTAATGGCAATCGAGCGACTGTCCTTCAAAAACCAGTTATGTTTCAAAATGGAAATTAGCAATAAATGTGAAAAAGAGTTCGATAAACATTTTCAGACCAAGAAATTACAGAATGCAGATCTAATCGGCGTAATCCCCAAGTCCTCTAGTATGCTGTAAAAAACGTTTCATTATTGTCGAAATATAGCAGCCATTAGAAACCATTTGCCTGCTCCTAAGTTATTCGCTGCGGAAATATGTAAACGACCCACCTCATCCAGATGTATTGTTTACGTGAGGCGTCCTTTAATGGCGAGTTTTATCTGGGTCCTGCCCATTTCGGGCCGCTCCCCCTGCCCCACACATGGCGCTGAGAAATGTAAGCATATTCAAGTGATTAATGCAGATGCCCACCACATCGGGTGAATGCGAATCCGCTGGTCCCCGGGGAGTCCCCGGCTGAGGAGCTGCCCCTCCTCCCACAACGTTTGAGTAATTAAACTTGATTAATTGTCTAGTCAGCATGAAGGTAAAAATCGGCGTGGCCAAGATAAGCAAAACGGAAATGGAAATTAATTAATATGAGGCTAAATAAAAAAAAAGAAATAATGAGTAAGTTTATATTGGCGATACTCCAAGGAATTTTCGATGGCCGATCACTTCACAGTCGATGAGTTCAATGAGTTCCGTGTTGATTTCCCCGAAATATCCCACATCCAATTTAATTTTCACCTGCGCAATTTTTACACTCCCCAGTGCAGTTCTCCCACCTTCGAATCGGCAACGTTGAAATTCCATAATCAGCAAACAAATAAATAAACAGCTGGAAAACTTTTCAGAAACTTTTGCACCTTGTGCACATAAAGGGTTTCATTTTGTCTGGCACGCCAACTTCTCAGCCCAATCAGCGATGGCAGCCAGTGGAATTTAATTCATTTGCATTCAGAAGTAGGAAAAGGCCATGCCGACAGCTTTGGAGATAAAATAGTGCTTTTTTAATGGTTAAACTTAAGTAAATCCCATAAAATGGAAATCCTTTTTCAAATAAAATTAACGCCCATAAAAGTTTTCTAAGTATTTAATCTTGCACAACACTGTTTCTTAGTCAAACATTCTTTTGCAACACTGCATCAACTTAAAATTTTGTAAATAAAATATTATGTGTTTAATTAATTAATTATTAATTTTTATTTTCCCCGTTTTGGCTAGGTTAAACTGATTTCAGGTCGAAAAAATTTTGTTTACAAAATGTTGGTAAAGTAAGTACAGAGTTGGTTGTCGTTATTGTACAAATTTTGACTCATCCAAGATTACCTTATACTAGGAGTTATTTGTCAGGTGATTTTAGTCATTTCAACTTAGTGAAAAGTTAAGTAAGTACGAGGATTAATTTTGCTTAAACTTTTCAATTATTTTATGGCTTAAAAGCATGAACGGCACTAGAATAAAGTCTGAAGTCAAGACCTCTGCTTCCCATGATGAGTCACACGGAGTAACGGGGTCCTCCAACCAGACGTTGACTTGGAGTTACGCCAACTGCGGAACGTTCCAAACTGGGAGCCAAGTGCAGCCTCCCGTGGATCAGTTCGCCGGACGTGGAGGAGGTGGTGGCCTTACGAACCTCATTGTCAACTACCTACCGGGGGACCTGATGGAGACGGAGCTGCGACAGATGTTTTCCAAGTACGGGGAGATCCGCAAGCACAAGGTCATCCGCGATCCCAGAACGGGCAGGAGCTGCTATGGGTTCGTGGAGTTCGTGTCCGCCCGCCAGGCGGCGGCTGCCCAGATCTGCCTGGATGGCCACGAGGTGCGCGGCAGGCGCCTGAAGGTGTCCTACGCACGTTCCACCGATGATCAGGTCAGGATCTCCAACCTGTATGTGTCGCACCTGCCGTCGCACATGGACGAGCAGAAGGTGCGCGAACTCTTCTCCAGGTACGGGCCCATCCTGGACGTGAATGTGCTGCGCTACAAGTTCACCAGGAAGCCCCGTGGCGTGGCCTTTGTGCGATACGAGAGCCATCGTGACGCCGAGACGGCCAAGTATAGCATGGACGGGTATCTCTTCAAGGACGCTGTCCGTCCCATCACGGTCAGGTTCGTGGATCGCCCGAAAAAGAAGCAGAATCAGTCCCAGTTCCACAAGCAGGGCAATTCTCAGCAGCCGAACTTCAAGCGCCGCCAGGAAATGGGGAATCAGCAGAATGCCAAGCGTCCACGCGGTTATGGCTCATTTAGATCCGATTTTACGTAATCCAAAACTTCAATGTAGTGGAATTGTTTTTCTTTGCCGGATTTTACAAAAATATGTACTTCTATTTTGTTATGGGTTAGACAACCTACGCTATTCTATTACATTTATAGAATTTAACCATTTTGTCAACCAGCAAATTCACAACTTATAAGTAATGTTCATTGATATCAACATCTAAAGTCCCCAGTTCATGTACAAGTTGTAATTTGTAACATAAAGCTCCAGACTTCAAATGAATATTTGAAAACAATATCTGTTTTTTTATTGATTGGCATACGGAAATATCGAACTTTAAATAAAATATTGCTTGGTTTTAAAGCATAATTGATTCTTTTTGCCAATGATAGTGTTATTACTAGTTCCATTTAAAACCTTAGCTAAAACCCGCTATAATTCAAGATTAAATTCTGACTTTTGGATTTATAACCGCCTTCTTTTTGGTAGTTTGTTCCAATTAATTTCGGTCTGAACGTATTCATTCAGTTATGCATTTGGCTGCCCTCTGTTTTCGGTCTTACATAAATAATTCATTATTTAGCCGCAGGAGTTTCGCTTATCGTTTGCAAACAAGCCACTCCTTCAGACACGAGATCCTCCGTTCCTAAAAAACATTAACAGCTTTATCAATCGCCTGGTAAGGTACCCTCAACTTACCCAGGGGCTGCAGTTGGCCAAAAAAGGTGCGTCCGATTCGGTTTCAGTTTCTGATTTCGATTTTGGGATGCAAGCACCAGTTTCGCGAGTCAAATAAATAATGAAAACAAAGGGCGCATAAATATTTGAAGATCGCAAACCGAATAAGCTGGAAAGACCACGAAAGTAGGTGGGAAACAAGTGAATTGAAAATTATTTCCAATTCGTTTGCATTTCTCATTATAATTGAGGCGCAAAGTTGCCCCTGCATCTTGGCTTTGGTATCTTTCGGTTTCCCAGTTCGTTTCCCTTTCGACTGCTGCTCTTGTTTCAGCCTCCGGACCATTCAGATTTAACTTTCAGATTTTGCGCACTTCCCTTTGCCTTACAAGGGCTCTTCCTGTAGCGCTGCAATATGCACTTTTTGGGAGCCGAGATCTTGCATAATCACTTAAAGGTATTACGTACACATTATATACTTAGGCAGGGAATTCTTTTTGTTAAACTTATTTATTTAAAAAATATTTTGTAATCTACTTTTCTTATTTAAAATACAATTTGGGTTTTGTTTTGTAGTGTATTAAAAGTATAGGTGTCAGAAAGATAACTCTCATAATCTTGGCTTGTGGATATGAATGGCTAGGGGGTATGAATGTATCGAGATATATGGAGATAAGTTGCATAATAAAGTCATTGGATTTAATGAAAAGAGGCAGGTGCTGTGACTGACAACATTGTGCAATCCTTTCATCAGTTAAAAAATGTTTAATCAATTTTAAAATTGTAAAGGCCTATAAGAAACCTGATATTGGAATCCACAAATACAGTATTACTAAATTTGACCAACCTAAAAATGAATATTAATCAATTCTTTATATAACATGTTCCCTGCAACAGAAGTGAACTAAACAAAAAAAGGCGTAATCAAACCTATAAATGAGAACAATTGAATTTCCACTTCATCTTGTGTTAGAAATGCAAATCAAATTTTCACTCCTTCTTTGTTTACAACTTTCATTTCATTTTTCTTGGAACAGTTGCGTTCGTCCCTACTCAAGAAAGGAGTCCTCGAAGAAAAAAGGGCTGCAGCCCTTTGATAAGCAGATTATACGCTTTTCACCATTTTCATCCTTTTTCGCCCCTTGGCTGCGAATGTTTTTGGGGATTTTCATCTTGGCTTCGTGTATTGTTGTATTGACATTTGTGGCATATTGTTTTCAAGTGGGATTATAATCGAAGAAACGATTTGCTTTCAATCAAAATTTATTAGCTTACATTTTTTTTAAAGAGTTAAGAAAAGAAGTGAAATCCAAGCTGGTGATTTGCTGATTTTCTGCGTATTTTTCACCATCTTAAAGTATTTTATTTGAACATTTTCCCGTAGTGATTCCGACTCATTTGTCTTGCTTTGTCCACGAACATTAAGAAAACAGACTGCCCACAAATTGGCAGGGGGAAGGAAAAGCGGCGGAGGCTAAAAAGCTTGTCAAGCAAGCCGCCCACAGGCGTCACGTCAGGATAATTAAGAAATTTTTCAGTTCCCACTCCTGAACCCCTCCTTTCTGGCCCCCACTGGTGGTTTGTTCGGTGGTGCGACTTTCGCTATCGAAATAAATGGAAATTGATTGAATTCCATTAGGCCAGAGCCAAGGAACCGAACCGAACGGCTGCCTTTCAAATTAGGCAAAAACTAATGAGCTATGCACATGATCATCGACAGCAGGCATTAAAAGTTGTCCAGCTTCCGACTATCATTTTCAGGGGGGTAAGAACTTCTCTTCCCTAAGGAGAACATTGAGTCATTGACGTAACTCTGAGGGAGTTTCTTGACTTTGGGGATGAGTTTGACCAGGTCTGCCGGTCTGGTAATGGGTGGCCATTACAGGGTTCGGGGTTCGAATGCAATGTGTAATTTATAGAGTTCCCATAATTGAACCTGGAATATTGGTTGCCAATTCCAATCAGTAGTTTGTCCTTTTGTTTTGGGTATGATTGTCAAAGGTTTTTACGGAGGTATATATTATACACTTTATCACAAGGAACAGTAATAAGAGTTACCTGAAGATCCCCGCCAACGGGTTCATCATGAGCTCCAGCTCCAGCTCCACTTCCAACTCCTTCCCTTCGAAATGATAGAGTGGCTACAAGGACCTTTGAAGGGTCATATAATTCGCCAGGATGCGTGACGGGATTGTCAGCCAGTCCGTCAGTGGAATCAGTGCAACGCATGCGTGCCCCATTCATCATCGTCAGCGGCACACAACACACTCGACTCTAACTCAACATATTGTTGCAACATATTTTACGTGAGGGGCTACCTACCGTATACCGTACCCCATCCCCAAATCACTCCTGCCTGCGTGGAGATTTTTTCAATTTTTAGCGAAAATTACATCATCACTTATGCTGAATGAGATTTCCGCCCGCTCCTGACTCGGTGAATTATTAAAAAATTTCTTTGTCAACAAATCACTTGGCTCTGGTGTATGGGGCGCCTCACTAAATAAGGCGTAGGTCATACATACACACATGCGATTTACATTAGCCGCTCCCCTCTGTCAACAAAAAAAACCAAACCAAAATTTAAAAACGTCGCAAAGAAATTTGTTAACGTTGGAGGGTTGTTTTGCCAGCATTTTTTTTTGTCGCTGGGGTCTGGGTTTCGCAGCCCCACGATGATGTATGACGGCCAAGGTGGAAAATCGTTTCAAAACATAATTCTGTTTGCCTGACACCTACAACAGTCGCATAAATCTTGGAGCTCTTTAATTTCGGTAAGCTTAAAGCCCTGCTTTCTTCATCCTAATTTTGGGACTCGTCGCCTGCGGCAGTCGTTGACAAATTCAATAATTTTTCCCATTACAAAAGGAGACTTCGGTGGTTGGGTTCTGGGTTCGGTTTTTGTTGGCCGACTGAGGCTTGTTTTTGTCTGACGAAAGCGACCAAAATTGATTGACGCTGATTTGAGTGTGCGGAGGCCGCAGAGAAAGTCCCTGGCTAAATTTAATTTCGCCCAAAAGAAAAATCACACGAAATCGACACCTGCCGAGGCGCCGGAAAATAATCAAAATAAAATATGGATTTTTCTTTGTTCCACGCACCCGAAGGCGAATCGAGTTATACGAGAGGTGAGCTGAGAAGAAGGTCCTGTGAGGGGAGTCTACCAATCTGCAATTTGTCTTGCCGGATGTGGGATTGTGATGGGATAGGAGGAGTGTGTGCTTCTCGTGGGTCTTCTAAGCCGCTCGGCAAACAAGCGGAAGTTTCCCCACGATGCGTTAATACTCGAAAATTTGCGATAGGACTGCGTCCTTCCCCCGGCAGATAATGCAGGAAAGCTGCTTGTGGGGCTTTTTCTGGGTAGGGTTAAGAGCTGGCTAGGATTGCTGCTTATTATAACAATAAGTTTGTTCACAGGTTCATGCTTCAGTTGGTCCAGAGCTGAGACAGATTTAAACTTTGAGTGTCTTTACTTAGATATTTTTAGAATTTTCATCTCAGCTTAATGTTTTTAACTTGAGCTGACACTTCGGCGTTGTGTGAGGCATTTAAGGATATATATATTATTATGTTTTTTTTTCTATTTAGAAACAATCCTTTAGTTTAGTTTAAAAAAAACATATAAATTACTATAATTATTTTTAAAGACCAATTTCCCAGCAGAAACAATACTTTGCCTAGACTTTTTCGAATAGGTTCATTTCCTATCCATTATTTGCACTTCTTATCGATATGAAGAAATTGCACTTGGCGGAACGGAACACAAAAGTTCGGGCCACAAATAACCCCCAAAAGTTGCCGAGATAAGCGCGGAACATTGGCAGCCGAAAATAATTTGCCAAACGCGGAATGCCAAAAGTTGGAAGGAAGGCGGAAGGATACGAATGGGGATGGGGATGGGGATGGGGCAGACCAGACCAAAAATTGCAGACACATTACCGCGCTTCAATTTCAATAATGTGGAACACTCGAGTGTGAACACAAACGTGCTCCGAAAACTATTCTGGGCGAAATAGTTTGCCAACACATCTGTTGGCATCTCTGGGCAAAGAAAGGCCAAAAATTGGTATTATTGAACAGCAATAAATTTGACTAAAACTCAGGAAGTGAATGTGGATGGAACAAGGGTTGTGGCATGGGGTAATGGGGATTGGGATTGGTATTGGATTGGATTGGATTGGGCAAAACAAGAACCAACTTTCAGGCAAAAATGGGGAAAAGTTTTAATTACCCATAAAGATGTTGGTACACGAAACAAAAACTACTCGTACAAGGGAAATCGGAAGGGGAAGGATATGGAAAGGAAACCAGTCAAAGTGTTATGGCAAATGATTCGGTCTCGCCTCGGTGGATGGGCTCAAAATGTAATCGACAGGAGCAGGCCAGGAAAACCAAGAAAAGACGCCGCCCCTCGTAAAGATCATAACGCATTAAATTGGCCCACAAATTGGCCTCCTTTTGGCCTGGCCCATTTTTCAGAAATCAATGGCCAATAAGTAGGCAACGGCGAAATCGTTTTCTGGTCAGTCAGCCGCCGCCTCTTCTGTTGTTGAGTAATCGCAATTTGGCAACCAACTGGCCGGCA